CACGCGACACTTTTTCTGTTGTTTGTTGTTGTTGCTGTCGATGATTAAGATGATTGAGAAAAGATCAATAAATATTTGCTTGCTACGCAGGGTTGCTAAAGAATGCTGGTACGGGAACAAAAAGAAAGAAGAAGTAAAGGAGACCTTTCACGATGATAAATTTCGAAATCGGTTGTCATTCTTCTCTGGATTTTGATACTTGTTGTATAACAATCGTTGTGCTCTACAAGGCTTTTTCATAAGAAAGATCTTGATAATGTAAGTATCCCTACTCATCTACTTTGCTCACTGGCAGACCGTGATTTCATGATTTTCAAAAGATGTCTCTTTCATATCGGTATTGATCATTTAAAGCGTGATTCTGAACTGTTGTGTACTAGTCGACCATTTTACCATCGGTATTTAACTGTCTAGGCATTGTACAATGAAAAATTATTTCTTCATAATAACAAATATGACAATTATCGTCATGACAGTAATTTTTTCGTGCACATTCGAACCTGTGATGACCAGATATTTAAACTATGATAAATAGTTCTACTTGTTATTCTGTATATGTTGAATGAAAAGTAAACGATCATAAATGATAGATTTTCCTTTTTTTTGTCCACACTCTTTATGTGAATAATATTTGTTTATAAATATTTGATGAATAAATGTTTTCTCTTTTTTTGTTGTTTAATACATTCTATATATTGAAAAATATGTTAGTCACTCTTATAGTTTCATAGTTTTTTGAATCAAACATTAATAAATTAGTAACACCAGATTTATAATTTTCTTCAAATAAAAGAAAAATTATTTGTGATTTATAATATTAATTGTAAGTATTTGTCATTTGTTCCTCATTTTTTTTAGATTAATATTCTGAATTAATTATTTGATTGAAAGAAAATGTAGACCATCAATGTGATGGTCTGTTGTTTGTGAATGTCGTCGTGACTCTTATCGTGAAATTTCTCGCATGTTTATTTTGTTCTTTTTTACATTTATATATATATAATATATATATATATTTGTTTTAATAATCCGTTTTATTGTAATGGAATAATTATTTAAATATTATGTCTTCGTCCGCAACTATATCAACATTTCAGTGTCGTGTACAATATCTTGATGATACCGATCCATTCTCAAGTGTGAATTTACCAGAGCCAGCTCGTCCACCTTTATTTACTTATTTAATAGATATTCCGCTTATAAATCAACTTAGCAGTGTACATAAAGTTTTAAATGCACCACATAAGGTAATATCTGTTTTTGTGCTATACTATTTTGTCAGATAATTTTGTTCATTTGTTTACGAAATAGAAATTGTTAACAATAGAGATGAAGATTTTAATTCTCGATTGAATGATAATAATTTAATGACATGCATAATATGATTAATCTTATAATTTTTCTTATTTTAACTCTCTTCTCTTGTTTACTAGCTTGCCGATTGTGCACTTCAGTTGTACAGACAAGACGGTAGTCGATCCGAGTTTGGACCGTATCTTGATTTAGATCAAACATTAGAAGAACAAAAGGAAGAATTAGAAGGTTACACTGACGGGTAAGTTTACTTTTGATTTTCTAAACAGAATTGTTTCACGGTTACAATATCACTAAGAATAATTTTTATGTAATGTCAGATAAATGTAGAGTTATTCGTAAAATAATGTAGTATTTCCTAATCTAATCAAGATAAAGTAATTTGTTATTCAACAGCTTGTTACATTGATCGAAATCCCGTCGTTAATTGCACGCGATTTGCGATGATCATTTTCATAACGAGATATTTGTCCTAAATGCTACTTTTTTAATAAAATATCTGAATTATTGATAACACAAACATTTAATATTATAAAGGTAATACCGTATGGAGTAACAAACTGAGGTTATTAGGTTTCACAAAGAGATTTAGTTAGAAGATGTAGTTAACTTTTGATGTCTACAATTTTACATTTTCAATTCTCCTGATCAAAAGTCAAGAAATAGTTGTCGTCGCTGATGAATGGACCAGAAAAGTAGCTCTTTTGTTCGAATATTGATTTCTACTTGGCTTTTCAATGTGAATTGTTCATACTACACCGACAGGCGCAATTCATCTCATCGTTTGTAATCGTGAGCTGCTAGGTATTATATGAATTTCTGCTGCGGTTATAATATTCAAACATTTCCTACTTTAACATACAGTTAACATTTATTTTTACTTATTGATTGTTAAGTTTATCAAACAAAACAGTTTATTTTTATCTAAGTGAGTTACGTGACATTATTTAACAAATGACATGTTTTTAACGTTCAATAGAAATAACTTTTGTTTGTGTCGATTATTACTAAGTATTAGACATATTAATCCTTTTCAACATGGTCGTGATCAATTATTCGTATCAATTAAGTTTTTTCATCTAGTCGCATATATTATGTTCTGCTTGCAAGATCTACTCCTTTGCCTTCATAAATGTGAAATTAAGAGAATAATCAAATCACAACATGTAGGCGTTCAACATAATCATATTAAACTGTGTTTATCGTCTTCGAAAACATGATTTAAGAAGGGATAAGAGGATAATATTGTCCAAAATAAAATGTTTTTTTTCATCTATGGATAAAATACCTTTCATTTTTGCTTGTGTGACACTCCGTTTTCTCATAATAGAAATCCATTTTCTATTATCCACTATGAAAAAAGCTTGGTTCTGATCAAAAGTTCGAAAATATTTACTATAGAAGACAATTTTAGAGGCGATGGTTCTAAATGGCATTTCACCGTATGCTTTTAAAATGGCGGATTTTATAAATCGTCTAACAATCCATCCATTTTTATATGTTGAACTATTTTCTCAACATTCACAATTTATTTGAATAGGAAATTTCAGTTTAATAGTGGACGTTTGTTTACTGACATTATTTATATATATATCAGTATGAAAGATTAATTTAACTTTAATTTGACTAATTTTTATTATAAATATATTGTAAAAATCTAGTCGCCATGTCGACCTACTCTTTTAATGGCAAGTTCGTTTGATCAGACTGGACATCACTATATATATTATTTTATTCACTTTAGAATGGAGAAGAGATTGGATTTTCATAGTGATGTTATTTTTTGTTTGTTCACACAATTGATTGAGTTAATTATATTGATCATAATACATAGTTCGATACGTGAAACAGAGTGTGTGTATACTCAACATGTTTAAGATGAACTACAGTAGTATATATACACACTTCTAGTAATAAACACGTAATCTTATACGATTAGTGCCGGCGTTATTATTTCTTTTAGAGTAATATGTTAGATAAACAGACACAATAAAATAGTCTTATCGTTATCGGTTTAGAATGAAGTTTAAATAATTTTATATTTAAAAAAGAAAAAAGAAATTGTATTATAACAAACTAAAAACACATCGACTATAATTTAATTACACTCAGAAAGTGTAGAAATATTCGATTTAATTGTAAGAAAAATATAGTCAAATATGTTGTGATCAAAATTGTTGATTTTGTTTAAAAAAGTCTCTTGATGATTATATCTTAATGTTTAGCTTGCTCGATCAGCTTATGTCAATTCTTGTTGTCTGCCTTTTGGCTACTGGTCAGATTTAAATCCATCTCTATTCTATATAATTGTTGTACTACTTCATTGCACATAATTTTATATACCGAACTATATTCTGTAGTTTAACATACATACACACACACACGTGTGTGTATTGTCTTATTACCATCGTAAATATTATATGCTACTATTCTGTCTTTAATGATAAGAACAATAATAACATTATGAATTTTATTATCATTATTTTTCTGTCATTTAAAAATTATTATTTTATTTTTGTTTTGTTTCACTTTATACTTATGTTTTAATATTAAACAGAAACTATGAACAATTAACTAAGTGCTCATTCTACAGTTTGTAATGTAGACTGTTCTATTAAAATCTAAATCTAAATGTCATTTCTGTCTATTGTATCAATAACAATAGTTTGATCGTGATTGCTTGTCAATTGTAAAAATATTATGATTGTTATTATTATCTTTATCACGTGTATTCATTCGATTTTGGATAAAAATTATCTTTAAACGAGAAATTATTTTAGAGAAAAACTAAAATGTTAAAAGAGAAATAGACTTAATTCTTAAGTCAGTGTGAGAAAAATATATAATTAATTTCACAATTTATCATTCATACATAAATGTTTCAAGATGCTTGAATTAAATATCATATTTTAGATCATTTCATAAAAGTTTTTATTTTAATTTCTCAACTAGACAATATTTTTATTGATTATTTAAATTTTTTCATCGATATTTTAGTCGAAAATGGTCAATAGTACTTCGTACACAATTGACAGTGCGTGTAAATGCATGTATAGGTAAATATTAAGAAAATTCAAAACTATTTTACATTTTATAAGTTAATAATTATTTTAGACAAATTATTGAATTCCGACGGACGAGAATTAAGACGTTCATTATTTTCATTGAAACAAATTTTTCAAGTATAAAAAAACTGATAATTTTTTTTTTGTTTAATTTAACTATTGTTATTGTTGTTTAGGATGATAAAGATCTTGTACATGAATTTGTAAATAATCAAGGTTTACAATGTTTGGTAAAAATTGGTGGTGAAGCAGATCAAAATTATCAAAATTATATATTGAGAGGTAATGAATTTTCTTAACTTTTATCCATCTGTTAATATTAATTGTAAATTATATTTAGCACTTGGTCAACTAATGTTATATGTTGATGGTATGAATGCTGTAATGACACAAAATGAAGTTGTTCAATGGCTTTATTCTCTAGTCGAATCAAGTGTAAATATAAAATACAATTAATTCTTTAAAAAATAGATTCTATTTCTTTTTTATTTAGTTTCGTCTTGTTGTTAAAACAAGTCTCAAATTATTAATCGTATTTGCTGAATATACTGAAACAAATTCATTACTCATATTACAAGCTGTTAATTATGTTGATAAATCAAATCGTCATTTATTATGGTCAAATACAATGAAAATTTTAAATGAATATGATAATACACCATCCGAAGTGGTTTTATTAATTATAACATTATTTAATGCTGTACGTATGTTATTTTTATACTATTAACATAAAAAAAACAACAACATAATAATAATTAATTAAGAATTATTTAATATAGGTTTTATCTGCTATTCCTGATCAAGATACATTTTATGATATGACCGATGCACTTGAACAACAAGGAATGTTAAAAGTATCGCAATATTATTTGAATAGAAAACCACCCGAACAAGAAGTCATTGAACAATTTAGTATTTATGAAGTAAAATTTGTTTTTATCGAATTTTTATGTCAAAAAATGTTTGCAATTATCTAAAAAATTCTGTTCTACTTCTAGGCAACATTAAGACATGAAGATGGAGATGATGAATCAACAATTGTTCAATTGATGAGGTAGATATTCATTTTTACTTTTTTTTTTCATATAGGTGTAAGTATAGATCTAAATTTGTATTCCGCTTTAAGAAAGTTATACAATGGTATTCTAAATCATCTAATTGAAAAAAAATGTTTTAAGGGCCCCCCCCCTCCCTCAGAAATTGTCTCCGACACCGTGCATCCGATCTTGACGAAACTTTCCATAAATGTTCGGCACAATGAGTTACGGGAATGAAAAATTTTTTTTGTCTCCAAGTCTTACGGTTTAGGAGTTTTCCAGAGATCAAGGTCCAAAAAGGACCCTGAACGGCGTCCCAAGATTTTTTAATATACTTCAAGCTGGAGAGTTCGG